GATAACATAAAAACGTAAAAAGATATAAAAATAATATAAAAGACAAAAATAGATATATATATAAAAATCCCGCAAAAATATACTCACTTTAGTCAATAAGTTGTAAATACGTTAAGATATATTTATACCGCGTCAGCACAATGATATAATAGCGTTTGTTCACTTAGAATAATAAAAGTGTACTTTTATTAAAATAGGAACTCTAGTCGAGTCCACTTTGCATAGCAAAAATCCGAAACGGGAACTCTAGTCGAGTCAGTATTACTCCCGAGCGACCAACGGTGCGTAATAAGTCATCTCGACGACGCGTAGCTACGTACGATAGTCATATGTATATCGACGAGAAACGTTATATATTGTGACGCGAATCAGCGTAATTACGAGTAGTGCGTTACGGCGAAAAGCGCGACGTGAGTCTTGCGAAGATTATAGTGCGAGCCAACTTGTATTATAATCGGGCGACGTGTCCGACGAGTGCGCGTCTCAGGACAAAGAGCCTCGTCGTTAAATCTAGAAAGGAACGTAGGGAACTATTGTGCATTGTGCGGACAATTGAGTGTGATATCTGGTCCTTTGAAAAACGTCAATAAATATTGTGCTGGACATTAAAAACAGTTTATTCATACTTACCCTCAGTGCCACATCCCACGTCAATACTCTCGAACTTTTCCTAACTGCGTTGGTGATGAAATATCCCGCGACGACCTGGAAATAAAAGAGAAAGTGAGTACGTACCTGGTTTACCTGCCTCGAGCTCGGATTGCATCATCCTGCTCGACTACGTTCGACGCACCGGCGGCCATGTTCACAGGCGGCGCGGCGGCATCACAAAGGACGGCGGCGACAAAGGGACCACTACGTATCTCAGTACCTTGTTCCTTGTATAGGTCAAAGGAACTGGCGACCATACCGGTGAAAGCGGGGCGTTCTGTGATTGGTAAGTCCGACGGAGGGATCCCTACCCACACAGGTTCGGTCACACCGGAACGCTATCTGGGTTACGCGAGTAGTCTTCGTATATAGACTCGCAAAGTTCGCATAGGTCACCCGCTCGTGAGAGGGTGAGGCTGTTGCTACAAGTTCCGCAAACTATCCTAACTAGTAATCCACCTATGGTTAGGCTATGTTTCCGGATCCGTGTCCAGAACAATTTAGAAGTTCGAGGTAACGCGGCGAAGCATGAAAGGCAAAGAGCGGCTTTAGTTTCAAAATGAATGTACCCGATACCGACTTGACAGTAATACGGAGGTTCGAGAGGTATTAAGAGATTAACCCCTGGAAGAGGGATTATACCTCTAAAGGGGATTGGGCACATCTATACCTGCCACGTTAGTTGTATTTCAAAAGATCATGCATCGTTCGCTCGTAGATGGTTGATGAGACCGGACGTTGTCGAGAAGTTAGTAAATGTCGGTAAAATGAGTCGATGTGGCGTCGATACAACGTCGGCAACTGTCGGTAACGAACGTCGGTAGAGACCGTCGGTAAGTTGTCGGTAATCGTTGGTAACGAACGTCGGTAAGACGTCGGTAAATTGTCGGTAACCGTTGGTAACGAACGTCGTAATAGCAACAGTGGTAGTGGTGCTTTCAATAACACTTTCCACTTTTATGTCATTTTTCTTAGCCGCTTGTGCTTTGATGACATACTGTGGTTCCCGAATAGGCATATTTCTTGCTGCTCTACTATCTATTATTTCAGGAACCAAGCAGTCCTCGTAGAATCGTTTAAGCAGTGGTGACATTTTTGTTTCCCAAAATCTGTCATCACGCTCGACAATCGTGTACTTCAATCCCAAGGGTGTCCACACAGCAAAAATGCAATTATTTTTTTGCGTTATGTGGAGTTGTCCCTGTACTTGGAAGTAGTACGCGTGTCTTTCATTTATTCGAGTGTCATCCGTTTTATCAAACATTCTATGAACGTCTGAAATCTTATTGAGGATTGCATCGATGGGAGACACTTGTCGCGCCGCATAAGGACATTTAATCTCAACGATAGTATCGTCTCCGACAATGCCATCAGGCGTCGCAGCAAGGTATGGAATATTTTCATCAATATATATTCCACAATTATCAATTTGTATCCCCAACTCCTCTTGCAATTGCTTACGTGCTATCATTTCTTTTTCTTTACCCCACTCAACAGCCGCATTTGTCAATTGAGGAGAATAAAGAATTGCTTTAACTAGATTTTTGCACGAAGTTGTTTCTTTTCTACTACAAACTTTTCCAAAGTTTGAAGCAGTGAGAAGATTTCGCCGTATGTTGTGCCACACCGGGTTTTCATGCTGATCCCGTGTAGCATACTCCAATACAGTACGATTACTTTGCTGATCTAATAACATTTGATAATGATTACGTCTCAGCTGTTCGTATATATTACTTTCGATATCTGGCCGTTCTACATTTGGTCCATAATCTTTATCAGTCATTATTTTAGTAGAAAATTTAGATGTACGAACAGAGAGACCTAATTCTTTCGCCGCACGTGTTCGTTTAAGCTGGTTGGCATTTTTTTTATATTTCTAGTTTCAATGATATCTGTTTGTATAGGTGGTTTTTTATTCATTACACGACAAACGGAACTCAAGGCTCGCGAAGTATTATGTTGCACTACTGATGCTTTAACGCGTGTCTGGTAAGAACCTTTCATGGCAAAATGAACGCGCTTGCCACCAATAAATTTACTAATAATTGCATTACAACTTTCAACAGAATTACTAGTAAATTGATAAAGTAAGCTATCGGCATTTTCTATTACGCGTTTCATAGCATTTTGTACTTTTTGTAATAATCCTGCACGTTGTAATTGGGGCACAAGATTTTTTTCGCCTTTTTTCTGTTGTCCATTACAGAAATATTGAAGCAAAGCACAATCTTTATGTTCACCAAATACATGGCTAGGTATATTATTTAAATCTTTGATTAATTCTAAAATTTTTATTTGCCAACTAACTTCACGATTGCGGCAAAAGGTGACAGCCTTAACCACAGCGTTTCGAATTTTCATAACGCTGTGCTCAACGACCTTTTTTAATTTTGAAATATTTCTACTACCGGTACTACTTGCCTCACGTATTTTATTAGAAAGATTGCGGAGAAGATGATTCGTGCATTCAATCTTCTGCACAACAATATTTGGATACGGTGGAAAATCTCTCAATTTTTTTAATACGTTACTATCACCGTCACCGATATATTTATTATAAATAAGGCCATGCATTTCTAAACTTAGTCGGAAGCCTTCAAGGATCATATCACTTTCCATACTGGTGGAGCTCTGATTGCTCTCCCAATTTTTGTAACATACATGCTTTTTTGCTACTGTATTAATTTTCGCTGCTCTCGCACAAACAATACAATATTTATTTTGGACAGCAACAAATAATACTTTTTTTGAATAATATCCCGTAATAATAGCTGCTCCGGATGGAGAATCGTAACTACCAGTACGGTAGGATCTCTTCATCCACGAGCCGTCTGTTATCACGGGTATATGCGGAATGCCGTCTATGACATCTCCTCTTTCTATTGCTAAACGTTTTTCCTCTTCGCCAGCTACACGCATTTCTTTTTCCGCGGCGGCGGCGAAGGCTTCCGACATTTTATTATGATACTTTATATATGTTTTATTATGCATGCATGGAATATCTGCAGCTGAAAGAAGTTCTTCAAGCTGCTTATGACCAGTCCCTGTCAATATAGTACCGGAAACGATACCACTATTGACATCCAATATTCTCTCATCTGTCGGTTTACTACAAAAGTCACCTGTGGTGTGACACATTCGACATTTGACAGAAAATTGGGTTTTTAGACCGTCACGCTTCTTTTCACTCAATACAAGATCAGTAAAACGACATTCGCCGATCCAATGAGTGGACAGTCTCTGCAATTCAGCAAAAAAATGTCCAACATTGACGATACGTCGTCCACTAATCTCTTCAGAATATAAACGATGTGCGTCGATATTCCTATCTGTATGCAAAACAATATTTTCGATATCTTCGACATTTTCAATATCTTCGACATTTTCAATGTTTTCGACATTTTCAATGTCTTCGACATTTTCAATGTCTTCGATATTTTCAATGTCTTTGACATTTTCAATGTCTTCGACATTTTCGATGTCTTCGACATTGTTAACGTCTTCAACATTTTCGACGTCTTCAATATCTTCAATATTGCTTTGCATTGTACTTTCCAATTCCATCAGTGTACATGCATCTACAGAATTATCAAGAAATGCATTCAACGACTGTGGTGTGAACGCATCATTATCTGTCATCACATTTCTCTCATCTGTATATGCGTGCGGTTCGTTCATTGACAAACTATTTTGACAAAATTGACGAACGTCTGATATTGATCCCACAGAATCATCATCATCGAAAATATTAATATTTTTTTCAGATTGAAATTTTTGTGTCACGCATGCATCGACAGATTGAGAAAATGTTCCTATAAAAGATAATGATGTTAACATGCCGTCATCTACATTTCTTTATTCTCGCATGCATATAATTGATGTGACGTACCTGGAATTTCTATGAAATTCGATACGCAGTCCAATGATCCTTTTCCGGAGGCCTCAATTTTTTCTTCAATTACGAAAGAATTCCTGTCACTTTTTTGTCGCATACGACGCATTTTCTTTGCCACAGAAAAACGCTTCGCCGACGTTGTTTTCTTATTAATATATTTTGGCATAATGAATATATATATATATATATATATATATATTGTATATGTAAACAATATATTAATAATACACAAATAATAATAAATACTAATAAAACAGAACCTTTTTCAACACTGTATACACTGTACTTTACAGTACTAAAGGCACTGTAGTAAAAAGGTACACTGAACTACAAGACAATAATGCATGAAACAAATAAGATGTGTTATCATTGTTTCAAAGTCAACGCACCAATCATGGGACTTTATTGGTTGCGCGATTGCAATCGATATAATTGTTCGATAGTACCTTGCAAAATGGCGAATCGCGAGCATGGTGAGTAATTGCTCTTTTCATTTATATATGCAATTACAAGAATATGTATGTATGTATATACATATATACTATATATTATTTACTTATTAAATTCCTTACTTATAAAGCAATGCATTTTCCTAACCTGTGATAACCTGTTGCATTTTTATCAACACATACATATATAGATATAAATATGCAAATATTGTACACACATATATATATATATATATATGTGTGTGTGTGTGTGTGTACAATATTTGCATATTTATATGTATACATATATGTATGTGTTGATAAAAATGCAACAGGTTATCACAGGTTAGGAAAATGCATTGCTTTATAAGAATTACAATTATTAAGTTATATAAATAATTAATGTTTCATATAGTAAGGAATTTAATAATTAAATAATATATACGTAAAGAATTTAATAAGTACATAATATATATGTATATATTATGAGAATAATATATATATATGCAAATATATATATGCAATATATATATAATATTAAAATTAAGAGTTTAACAAGGCTCTGTAATATAAATATAAATTTTAAGATATAAGACAGGCAGTAAGAGCCAACTCGCGGATGACAGTGCGTTATCCTAACGAAACTAAATTTTTCGTTAGGATTAAGTATCTGTGCACAAGGCACCAAATATTTTACTTGGTCACGGCCAAGATTTAAAATATGAAATAATCTCATATTTGAGATTTAATTTCAATAACCCTTTCACCCCCCTACGGAAATAAGTAAATGCAAGAGAAAAGGGATAGGGGGTGAAAGGGTTATTGAAATTAAATCTCAAATATGAGATTATTTCATATTTTAAATCTTGGCCATGACCAAGTAAAATATTTGGTGCCTTGTGCACAGATACTTAATCCTAACGAAAAATTTAGTTTCGTTAGGATAACGCACTGTCATCCGCGAGTTGGCTCTTACTGCCTGTCTTATATCTTAAAATTTATATTTATATTACAGAGCCTTGTTAAACTCTTAATTTATATACACGCTGGCTTAAAAACGCGTTTGTTTATCAACATTATTACATATAGCAGAGAAAAGTATAGAATCGAAAGGATCTGAATAGCTCAGTTGGAAGAGCAGTCGCCCGGCAAGCGAAAAGTCTCGGGTTCGATTCCCGATTCAGCGACTTTCGGATCTATATTTTTCTCTTGCATTTACTTATTTCCGTAGGGGGGTGAAAGGGTTATTGAAATTAAATCTCAAATATGAGATTATTTCATATTTTAAATCTTGGCCGTGACCAAGTAAAATATTTGGTGCCTTGTGCACAGATACTTAATCCTAACGAAAAATTTAGTTTCGTTAGGATAACGCACTGTCATCCGCGAGTTGGCTCTTACTGCCTGTCTTATATCTTAAAATTTATATTTATATTACAGAGCCTTGTTAAACTCTTAATTTATATACACGCTGGCTTAAAAACGCGTTTGTTTATCAACATTATTACATATAGCAGAGAAAAGTATAGAATCGAAAGGATCTGAATAGCTCAGTTGGAAGAGCAGTCGCCCGGCAAGCGAAAGGTCTCGGGTTCGATTCCCGATTCAGCGACTTTTGGATCTATATTTTTCTCTTGCATTTACTTATTTCCGTAGGGGGGTGAAAGGGTTATTGAAATTAAATCTCAAATATGAGATTATTTCATATTTTAAATCTTGGCCGTGACCAAGTAAAATATTTGGTGCCTTGTGCACAGATACTTAATCCTAACGAAAAATTTAGTTTCGTTAGGATAACGCACTGTCATCCGCGAGTTGGCTCTTACTGCCTGTCTTATATCTTAAAATTTATATTTATAATATTAAACATATTTTTGCAGCAATACCGATGCCTGCACCGCTCATGCCGATCGATCACCTGCAGGTCGATCACGGCCACATGCAGCCTGGCTACATGCAACCCGGCTACATGCAACCCGGCTACGTACTGCCTAGCCGCGATATTCGGCCCCCCCAGTACGTATTACAATTGTTGGTGCCAGGACGACAACCGCAAAATGTAAGTCTTCATAAAGTATATCTCTTTATACCATTGATTTGACCTTGAAGAGTTATTTAAAGGTTACATGAAGGTCACGTTTAATTGTTTAAATGGAATACTATATTTTTATTGCATAATTTTGTAGCTGACTTTGACAGCTTTCCAAAACACTATAATAAAGTATTTTTTAAGTTGTAAGGTTTAAAGTTTACAATTTTTGAATATAAATGTAAAATATCTTGTAAATATGTAATTTTCAGTAATCTTATCTTATACTTTTATGCACAGAATAATGAGACCAATCAATTGTTGTGAAGAAAACGCATAGTTAATTTTAAAAAAATATGTTTCAAAATTAATATTTTTTCTTAAAACTAATGTTCTTAAAACTAATAATTTTGTTAAAATTATATTGTAATTTCTTTTTTTACAGGTGACTGAACGAAGAAGGCGTTATCGCCAACGTCGTCGAGAACGGCGGCAACAACAACAACCGCCGCCGCTGCAGCTACCACCACCACCACCACGACCACCATCACCACCACCACCACCTCCACCGCCACCACCGCCTCCACCGCCACCACCGCCTCCACCGCCACCACCGCCACCACCGCCGCGACCGCCACATGGCCAAAGGGGGATGCAAAGGGGGATGCGTGGTCGAAGAGGAGGGAGGGAGAAAATGTATATTTGGAACATTTTTTAAGGCTCCATATGTAAATTTTTTAAGGCTCCATATGTAAAAATGTATTTGCATGAGTGATGAATGTATCAATGGAGATTTGTGAAACTTTCAGCTATGTATTATAATACACTGCGAGTGCATACTGACACAAACAATATAGGATTACATTTTGTACGATAGTTTTGACATTCATGCTGAATATGTATTGTGTGACTCAATAAGAGGTAGATAGAATATGTATAAGTAATTATTAAATAGTTTCATATTCTCTAAAAAATGTCTTACTATTTATTTTTATCTACATTACTACTTATTAGAAATATATTTCTCTATATAGCAGATAACAAAAGTAAAGAAATGATTGTATAAAGAAATAATATTTAAATATATATTGAGATAAGCATGATTAAATATAGAAAAATTAATATAAGATAAAGAATCTATATAAGTTTACAAAAGAATGAATACATATATATTTCACAAAAAATTATAAAAAGTAAGGATAAAAAAATTAATATATATATATATTTATTGTATTTTACAATAATATAAAAATGTGTAATTTTATATAGACTATGTTATTGCTCCGACCTTGCGATGCTGAAAAAAATTATTACTTAAATTTTTTTATGAATATAATAAATTATTTATTATATATATTTTTAATTAATTATTTATATAATAATTATATTTTAATATATATTACGTACACGAATAAGAAATATTTTACATTTGCTCATCATATATAAAACTATAAAAGTAATGGAAATTAAATCTTACATTAATTTATAATAGTATTATGAGGTAGTTAAAACATGAAAATCATATAAGATGAATGCTGTACATCGATTAGCATAATATGATTACAAGTCAATAAATGATTTTGCTAATACATTATTTTGAATAAAAATTAAAAAAATATAAAAACAAAAAAAATGAAATTAATAAATTTTCTTCATTCTTTGTTTTCTTCTTCTATTAATTATTTTTTCTATTATTTGAATAAAAGATGTATCGTGTGTAATAGATTAAATAGATAGATAATTTATATAAATATGTAATTACGTTTTGAAATTTATATATATATATATATATATATATATATATATATATATATATTAATTTCAATATATACATATACATATAAATTATTATTTATTTATTACATATACGATACACCTTTTATTTAAATAATAGAAAAAATAATAGAAAAAAACAAAGAATGAATAAAATTTATTCATTTCATTTTTATTTGTTTTTATAAAATTTTTATTCAAAATAATATATTAGCAAAATCATTTATTGCGACTTGAAATCATAATATTACGCTAATCGATGTACAGCATTCATCTTATAAGATTTCCATGTGTTACTACCTCACAATACTATTATAAATAAATGTGAAATTTAATTTGCATTACTTTTATATTTTCATATATAATGAGCAGATGTAAAATATTTCTCATTCGTGTGCGTAATATATTGGTTTTTGTATTTATACTGATTTTACACATATCAAATGCAAGAGAGACAAAGATAGAATGATACTCTCTCCTTGTCAAGCTGTCAGTATGTTACCACGAAAATTTCCCCATGAGTATAGATCTAGTGAGATTTGTTCATCCCAAATATTACATAAAAAGAAGTTACGTAGCTTCGTGAAATATTTTTTAATATATTCTTTATATAATAAAGCAGGGAGACAAAGAGTCAAATTTTGCATTATTGCTCTTAAAAATTTATAATAAATTAAATACGATCTCGTGGCTAACCCAACCTTACCCGCTGCTAGCTGCGCATTTCCCCAAGTTATATTATGAATTTTATATTTATCTTTTTTCCAAAAAATCGATCTTTGTCTCCCTGCGGACAATCCTACTGATTAAGAATATCGTAAATTTAATAAGATTCATTAAGTATTTTGGCTAATATATGGGATGAATGAATCCGTAATTCCCGGTCGGCCGATAGGCGTCTCCACCATGTCGCCTGCCGACCCTTAAGATGCCTTTCTCTTCTTAAAGGCCATTGCACGTAAAAGAGTTTTAGTCGTAACCCTAAGGCCGTAATCGCAAAGTTTGATGTCCATTTTTAGTACCTAGATTTACGCATGCGTACAAAATTCTAACCTGTATTTACACATGTGTATAAATCTGTCAAAATATAATCATTTCTAACCTGCGTGTTATCATCAAAGCAACAAATCTAAAAGCGATTGTTCTTAATTCTTGACATTCAAAATTGATGTAAGTATACTCTGCAATTGCAGCATAATAAAGTAATTACATTTATTTAAAATTAGAAAATGTAACACCAGTTTGGCTAAATTAGAAATAAACATGTATATTTTATTAAATTTTGCAGTTCAATGAATAAAGAAAAAGTTTTCATTGCATATTCATTTCTTCAATTACATTTTATGTACAAAATTGTGATGAAAAGGAAAAAGTCTAAACGTTGGATACATAGAAAGTGGCTTGTAAGACCAATTAACACACGTCGAATGTTGCAAGGTGATTTTCATCATCTTTTCCAAGAAATGAAGGAAGACGCGGATTTATTTTTCCGATATACACGAATGGATGTCAATACGTTCAACATTTTTTTAACAATACTTCTTCCATATTTGTCATTAAAAAGCACAAAAGCTTTGCCGCCCGAACAACGCCTCGCAATTACACTCAGGTATAACTGCTTTTGAAAGCATATGTTAGCAAAAATAAATAATAAAAAATTTTTTTTTTAATTTTAACTCAGAATAACTTTTAATCTTTTTTTGTTTCAATAATTTATATTATTTTACAGTTTTGTTTTCAATAGTTACAGATGCCTTATATTTTAATATAGCTTTTCTGAAATTAATTATTACAATTGATTTTGATATTGTGTTTCAATGAAGAATTAGATAAATGAAAAGTTTATCAAAATGCTTATTAAAATGAGATATATAAATAAAATTTTAATAATTTAAATACAACATACATATTTATAAAAAAATTGATATATATTACAAAAAACCTAAGCATGATCTAAAACGCGTTTGCACTTTTTAATATAAATTAAAAAGAAATAATAAATTTTGAAAGTTAGTGTGATCATTTTCAAAAAAATATTAACAAAAGACAAATTTTAAGAAATGTATTAATGATGAAATTTACAACAAATAAAAATACATTTTTTGTAATCAATTAATCTGTAAACAATTTTTATTCCAGATATCTCGCTACAGGCGATCAAATGCTGTCAGTAGCATTAGCCTATTGAGTAGGCGAATCAACAGCACATGCTATTGTAAAGAAAACATGTGCTGCGATAATTACTGCGTTATCGCCTCGTTTCTTGCGTACTCCAGATGAAGAAGAATGGAAAAAAATTTGTGCAGGATATTTGCAAAATTGGAATTTTCCCAACTGTGTAGGCGCAATAGACGGTAAAGATATATCAATTCAGGCGCCACCAAATTCGGGTAGTTTGTATTATAACTATAAGAAAACATTTAGCATAGTATTGTTAGCTGCATGTGATTATAATTATAAATTTACTTTAATAGACGTTGGTTCTTATGGTAGTGAATGTGATGGTAGTGTTCGCTGAATCTAATATGTCAAAATTACTCCGTCAAAATGATTTAAATTTGCTAAAAGGAAATGCAGAATTACCTGGCTCTGAGTTGCAAATGTCATGTTTTTTTGTCGCAGATGATGCTTTTGCGCTTACAGAAAATATGATAAAACCATACTCAAAAAGATATCTTAATAAAAAAAAAAAAATTTTTAATTACCGACTTTCTCGCGCTAGACGTACAATCGAAAACGCTTTCGATATTTTATCCGCTCGATTGAAAATTTTTCGAAGACCAATTGCTGTTAATCCTACTACTGTTGATAATATCATAGTAAGTGCTATTTGTCTTCACAATTTTTGAAATCAGTAAATGACGAACAATCTGTATCAAAAAGAATGTACTGTCCTCCAAATTTCGTTGATTGTGAAGACGAAAATGGCAATTTGACACTAGGAAGTTGGAGATTAGGCAAAAAAGCAATATGCAACCGTTGAAGAAAGCACCTCCTTGTCGAGCGGCACAAAAAGCATTTCGGCAAAGAGATATTTTGGCAGAATATTTTTTAACTGCAGAGGGTGAAGTACCTTGGCAGTATGACTATGTTCAAAGAGGACGCTATGCTGCCTAAATTTTTAGCGAGTTTAAATTTAATTTACAGTTACTTGTACACATTTACTAATTATTTTTATTAGCTTGGCCAATAAGTCCGTGCGGTTTTTTTTCACATGTAAATCATCGGCAAAAATCGCACGGACTTATTGGCCAACTAATATATTAATTATATGTTATTATATTTTAGTAATTAAGTTAGTAATAGTAATACAGTTAATAGTGTATAGTTTTAGTTAATTGTTATTCTAATTATATTAACATTACCATTATAGTTATGTATACATATAACTAGTGTGTTTAAAGTGTTTGAACACATACAAAAAAGATATTCAAAAAATCTTTAAATTGAATTAAATTAAATTATTCAATTTTATATTTTTTTCCTATTTTTGCTGTTTTTTTAACTTACAAGTATCAAACACGAACATAAACCAATGTAAATATAAAATATTTTAATAGAGGTGTAGTGTAAACAAGAATAAAGGTGCGTAATGTAAATGTGTTGGTTTTGAATATAATTTTTGAAATAAATATTTTTTTCGTAAAACTATAAATCTTTTATTTTGAATGTGAATTTCGCAGATATAAACACAAATTAATATAAAATCTTAATTATTAGTAAATGAATATCTATTTTTAAATATTATATATATATATATCTTGCACAAAAAAAAACAATATAACATCACAGATATATGATATTACATACTAAATCTTACATATTTTTATTTATTCTTTAAATTGCGGGAAATAAAAATTAAATGTTAATACATGCATATAATGAAGCATAACCATAGAGAATAATATATAAGAAATGTAATTGGATGCACCAGTATTTATGTATTGCTATATTGTTCAATTAAACAAAAATTAAACTAAAAAAGGATATAAAAATTGAACAATGTCGATATAATAATTTTAAAAAATAAAATGCTCCAAATTGAGATAAAAATAAATTATTTGTACAACTTTTTGGCAACACATTTCCCTATTATATTGAATTGAGCAATAACAATCTGTAAAAAAATTAAATAAAAAAAACTTAATTTTAAAAGCTAAGACTTTAAAGTGTTATTAAAGAACTTATAAAACGCGGCTCGTATTACTCTTGTATATGAAAATATTGCTTCTTCGTCTTAGCAACCTCAAGTTACCTTGTTTAATTTGATTTTAATTTTATCATTTGGATTTCAGAGTTTTTGTCGATCTTCTATATATTGAATGACTACGCGATACAAAACAAAAAGAATGATTAAAAGTAGACGCAAAATTAAATTTTCTCATAAAATCGCTGTCTAATGTGTGTATATGAAGAAATTAAAAAGAATCAATCAAGATTCAATAAACTTAAAAAAATTAAAAATTATAAAAGTACTTTTTACAAAAAATATTACTTAGATAATAAGATTTCAATTACTTTTTGGCGCTTTTCATCTCTTTTCTTTTCCGGCAAATGATTGAGTCGTGATATAATAAACTTAGCAAGATGTTCATCCGCAGATGAATCGTTTTCTTTATTTTCTTTTTTTTTGAGTATATATTTTTTAAGCACATTTGCGATGCTCATAAATGAAGTTTCTAATAAATCGCTATCCTTTTTTTTTCTTTGTTGGACACCCCCAACAAAACATTTTGTTGGCATATTAGGTGAGGCTAAAGTTGAAGTCGTAGATGATTTTGCTACTATAACTTTTTCCTTTGCAAAGGAGTGAGATTTGTCAGATTGATTTGGAGATAAATTTTTGTTACCATAGTCTGAAATTTTCGATGATACTTCATTTTCATGCATTACTGTGAATGGACTAGATCGAAGACTATCTTCAGAAGTAAATCGAGAGCTATCTTCAGAAGTAAATCGAGAGCTATCTTCAGAAGTAAATCGAGGGCTATCTTCATAAATAAATTGAGGGCTATGGCTTTCTCTAAGATGCGCATCAAAGGTATTTGCAGGTTTTAATGACATGGATGCCTGCACTCCCATAGAACTTGTAAATGTATTTGTTATTGTAGGTTTAACATTTTGCCAGCCTCTTGATAATGCATGTGTACTTTTTTCCAATTGATTCTTAGGAAACTTGTATACACACACAACATGATATATTACAATGTGTATCTTTTCACATAATCTTTTTTCAGGAAAAATAAGTAAAATTTAATAAAGAAAAAAAAATTATTTAAAAGAATCAGTTTTAAGAATCAATAAATTATTTAATTTATTTATATTATTTCTTGTTCTGATATAAGCATTCTCTCTCAAAACGTACTTTTTACTAAGTAATATTATAAATAATAGTTTTAATTATACTGACATTTTCAGCTTCATTTTTCAACTGATTACTTTCTGTACATGTGCTTTGAATTTTTTTCAATTCTTGCTTTATTTGGGTGATGTCCTGACTTGATTGAAATGCTGGTATACTTGTTCTGCTGAAAATATTAAATAATGAAAATTTATTATATTGATAGTAATTATTATTCAATATCAATTTTCTTATTAATACATTTTTCTGTTTTTTGTTTTGAAAAGATCAATATATTTATAATGAATAAAAACCAATATTTATAAAGTTCTTAAGACAAATAGTAAGTCAGGCTCTGAGTGATAAATCTCAAATATATATATTGTAACCGTTGATTTTATGTTGTCCGTCGGATCGAAAAGGATCCGGGAGATAGGGCCGATGTAGTGGCCGACGGCACACCTTCGGCGCGGAAAGCGGGAAATTCGCGTAAACACAAAAAAATATGTTTGATTGGGCGCCAGGCGCGAGATTCGCGCCACTCTGAAAATTTACAACTCGACAAATGACCTTTATAATTAGTAAATCATCCCGAAAATTTCCGCGACGGCGATAATCGACTCGCTCAGATCGTCAGGGGGTAGAGGGGAGAGTTCGGACGGGAGAGAGGACGGAATTCGAGAGAGGCTATTTGAAATCGCTCAAATATAACAAACATTAAATATATTTAAACAATGATGAACGAAGATAGACCGACAAATAATTGTATAAAAACTTGAGTACAATGTTAGGTCAAGAGAGAAAAAATCAATATGCTTGCAATATACTACGGAGTGAACTCCGTTTTCGTGACGCCGAAATACAACTAAGCGAGGCCGTAATTCGATTCGAACAATATAATACGGCGTATGTACGGTCGGACGCGGCGCGTTGTTATTGTTCCGCGCCTTTGAGATGACCCGACGCGGTGATATCGGACGACACGCGGGACCCGGAAGTAACTTCGCACGCCTACGTGTCGAATAATTATTAACGCACGAGACTTAGTAAGGTCCGTGCGGCGTAATTAATTCCGATGGTTTTAGGCAATACAAAATTTCCGTAAACTCGAGTCGGTCCCGCGCGACTTCCTTTGAGATCGCTCACGCCGGTCGTCCCTCGCAATATTTTACAAAGAATCCGAAGACGGCACGGATAAGGATATGCGCGAGAAAGAATACGCTATTTCGGATGCGTGACTCTAAACAATTTTCTATTCTCGGATATAGAAATTCTAATAGACAAGAACGACACAGTAATTACGAGACGATACTTTAATTTTACATTAACGTGACCAAAATCGCGGCGACTGTCGGCGTATCCGCGGGAGAGAGAGCCTCTCTTAATATACGCGCGGGAGAGAGCACGCGGTCAGCCGGGCGCCGGGATAAATTCTACGCGGAACGAAACTCTAAATCAAACTCTCAAAATCACGAAATTACCGGTGAATCTAATAACCGGCCGCAGCCGTGACACGCTTCTCTCCCGAATACGGTACTCACAAAAGAATTTAGCGGCTTTACAATATTATATAGGGCCGTTCGTCTCACCGGTATCGCCGGGTCCTCGTATTCTTCGGCATCCGCGCAGGAACCTCTGCTCTCTGGAACGCCTCGCCGAACAGTGACGAGCAAGAGGCCTGCCGGGATCACGCCGATAATGTATTGGGCATTTTCCACCCGTGGCGCTCCTTATCCTGGCAGGGCCGCCGGGTACCCCGTGGGGCCCTGCGAATTTTCCCGATGTAAATTTTCTCTCGCCGTTCCTTTTTTCGTCTGCATGGAGTTCCGCTGTTCATCTATATGGGCCGTCGGGAAGACTCCTACGAGCGCACCTCTTTGCGACTCCTCCCAAAAATCCGCCAGATCGATTGTTTGATCGATGGTGAAATTTTTGTGTATCCGGATCTGCGGGGCTCGAGGCAGGGTATCTCCCGCGCCTATTGTTTCCGGGGCTCTCTCGCCTCTCGCGAGAGAGTGGCCATCCCCGTCTCTGGCCGGAATCTCTGCGAAAGAAGGAACATTTTACGGCGGTACCCAAGTTCTTAACGGGAGGAGCAATCCAGAAAATCTAGGTGAAAATGATATTTACCGGGCGTGATCCGGACTTGGTGGTTTCTGCTCGGTCCTAAATCGTCCTCTTCGTCCTCTCCGTCCTCTCACTCTTTCTCTCTATTGGTTTCTTTGGTTGAGACACGTACCCTATGCAAAATTGCCCGCCGAAAACGCCAAAAATCGCTCAAACAAAAATCATAAATAAAGTACTTCGCGAAACGGGTGCGCGAAGCGCATTCTCCGACGCGGTAGTAAACGCAAAAATGGTTTTTCGGGTGCTCTCTCTCTTTCAAAGATTGGCGAGAGAGCAAAGGTTCCCGAATTTCCCGCCTTCCCGGCCGGGCCTTTGGCCCTTGTGACGGACAGTACAAAATGTCACGTCACAATATATATATATATATAAAATGGAGAAAGAAGAGCTGAATAATGCACTACGTAAGAGGCATCAGAACAAATGATGGTTCAACACAAGGATCAAAATGTTTGAATAAAGATTTTATCATTCGAGAAGTAATTTGTTCTGATACCTCTCACATAGTGCATTCGGCTCTTATTTGCCTGTTATACATACAACAAAATTTTCAAAAAGTCATGAAACTATTGAATCATATGAAAAAAATCCTTACAATTATTAAAATAAAAAATAGTACTTAAATAAACAGTATTTTATATTTTAATTAGTTTTATTAAATAGAATGTTTATTTTTTCTCCATATTCATAAGCACTTGATTCTTGCGATTCAATATTTTTTTATGAATGTTTTTGATAATCTAATAAATATTGATAATAAATAAACGATACACATTAATATTGTAATTAACAAAAAATACCTTTTATTTTGATAACCCAGATTTAATTATTTTAATGTGTTCTTGTCCTCTTTAATAGACTGTAATGAAACATTAGTAAAAGTCCTACAATACAATTGTTGAAATGATTAATCATGCATTTTAACATGTTATTAAAACAATGAATTTTTAGTATACCTTCTTCTCTGAATGTGTTTTTCCATGAATTTTATGTTTTCATACAGCGGCCACTGTTTTATTGTTTGTGCTGCACTACCACTGCGCGTGTAGCATAATCGTTTAATCTTCTTTGTTTACTAAATCTATCTTTCAGCCTTTTCCATCTTTGTTGTACTTCAATATCTGTTGAAAATATTGTAATGTAAATATTTTATTTCCAAAATATATTTTAGCATATCAACGTTTTCTAAGACATACATACCTGATATGTTACATGTTTGTGCTATTTCCTCCCATGATTTTTGTTTCATCATATGATCCTTGTAATTGGCATTACTCTTGTTATATAAATGAGGATAGCTTTGCACGCAAGCAATTATCAATTCATCTAAGGTATCGACGAAATCGCCCACGTCACTACTTTCACAATTCTCTTCAAGTTCTCTTGAATTCATTGAGTTATTCAATTCAAAATTTTCATCACAGCTTTCTATATATGTATGATCAAACATTTTGAATAATAGCTGAACAAACAGAATAGCAATAAGCAACAACACAAATTTTTACAGTTGCAATTACAAATTACGAAGTTCGAAAGTTAGAAAGTAAGGTTATGTTTTCAAGTCAGTCGTACATGACTTTAAGATAAGCTTATTTATTAAATATTATGGAATTAATGGAAGAAATTGATGATATTGAAAATATTGATTAATCGTGATTTTCAAGTAGAGAACGTGTACGAAAACGATACATTCGTGATGGACTTTAAAACCCTTTTATAATAAATAAAGATAGTAATTAGCTCTGTTAAATTTAATGATTGTAAACAAAAAAGGGCTATAAGAGCTATTAAACACATACAATACAGTTGTCAGATGATATTAATAAAATTCATTTAAAACCATATAATAAATACATAAGAATTAAACATTTATGCGAAATTCATTTAAAACCAAATAATAATACATAAGAATTAAACATTTATGCGAACGTTTCGGTTGACATTTCAAGCCTTCTTCAGCACAATACAAACATTTTAATAATAAATTAAATTGTAATATTAAACATTATAGACAGTAATTAACAAAGTCACGATAATAAATATATAAAGTCAGTTTTTTGTCTTGTTCCATATGTTGCTAAACAAGTCATCGTGTATGACAGCCAATATTTCTGATACATACTGTGTTCGAGCGACCGTACCGTGCATTCACCTATGATTATAGACTTCCTGATTTACTGGTCAAGGGAGGTATTTTGCTTGAATCCTCATGATGTAATGTTGTTAAACATTAAATTGAGATCTAAATAAACAATATCCGATTATTTATTGTAATCTGTCAAGTAAAATGCACTGCACACTCACTCAGACAAATTGGTGATTATTTTACAAAAGTTTAAAGTATCAGATCCGACGTCTTTTTAACAAAGTTTTTTTTACTGAAGACAAAACAGAACGTTTAACCGTCGAAACTCTCAGATCTCAAATGAGACAGTAACTCAGTGTTTCACCTTTTTATATCAAGGTTTGTTTATATACCCTGATAATTTTGGCAGAGACTCTATAATGTTATTATATATATCAGGCAAAAATTCAGTATCATTTTGTAGATTTAATCCATTAGCTTGTCTTTTATATATAACATTTCCGATATTAGTCTTTTATTATAATACGGTTCTTTATCTAAAATTTTAACTTCATCCCAGTCAAAATCATGGGAGAACTCTAATCTATGATCAGTAACAACTAATTTATTAGAACACTTTCTGTTGATGTGTTTTTTATGTTCCGTAATCCTAGTATTCAATTTTCTGCTAGTCTGAGAGAGTCTAGTGTCAGTTTTTCTTGTAATCCCTGTCAATTGTTCTGTGATATTCGGTAAATAAGGTACAGTAAAAAACAAAGAAGAGTCATTTGTCTGATTTTGTATAAAATTGTAAGGATTATTCGCGAAGCCGTCTTTCGATGTTTTCGGCCAAGTCATCACTTTCGACTTACTATCGCGACCGCGCATTCCAGAGGGACAAACAAGTGTTTTTCTGTTCGTATCTCGTTCCTCAATACGTCGATCACAAGCGAATCACAATGGGGCACGCACGTGTCACGCGCCGGTCATATGAATTTTCGGCCGTTGTCGTTACCGCTGTACGAATTCGGAGCAGTCTGCCCCGAGAGTCCGCCTTGAAAGCTCGCAAGGAGATCAGAGTGCCGAAAATCGCGTATAGAAACGAACGCGTTATTAGACTATTGTTACTGTTCATTTTTTTGCTGTATAATAAATCATTGCTAAATTCATCTTACGGACTCGTTCACTCTCTCCTCGCAGAATCCTACTGCAGGTTTACGTTCTCGGCGCAAAAACAAATATTTTCCTTCTGTGCATAAAATTAATTTCGAAGGTTCAAGCACAGAATGAATGGTCCTTCGAGCCGGATATAAGTGACTGTGCAGTAACTTTCCACCGCGAGTGAAACGAAGACGACACCTCGTTTGGGGTACAGTAAGACTCGAGAAGAGACATTTTTCTCGCGCATCGACAAGCTCGTCCGCGAGTTCGTGCCGTCGGCGACATTCTGACTCGCCCGGCATAAATTTGTGAAGTTCTCTAAGGAGACATTTTTCTCGCACATCGACAAAGTCGTCCGCGAGTTCGTGCCGTCGGCGACATTCTGACTCGCCCGGCATAAATTTGTGAAGTTCTCTAAGGAGACATTTTTCTCGCACATCGACAAAGTCGTCCGCGAGTTCGTGCCGTCGGCGACATTCTGACTCGCCCGGCATAAATTTGTGAGGTTCCTCGAGGAGACATTTTCTCGCGTATCGATACGGTCGTCCGCGAGTTCGTGCCGTCGGAGACGTGCTGACTTGCCCGACATATATTGAGTGATCTCGGACTAAACCTGTCACTATCGACTCACTCCTCGCGCTCTCCTGCTTCATTAGTGCTGCTAATTCGCTGATCATGGCCGAGTTACGGAATTTGCTGATCGCACAAACCGATAAAATCGACCAGCTCAAGAGAGTTCTAATAAACTTTAAAAAATTGGCTAAGGCTAACGTAACTTTGCCGAAGACACAAGGTCGATTAGAGAAAGTGCATACGCTATGGGCATCCTGTCAGGAGCTGCATCTCAAGTTGTTGCAGACCACTACGAAGGAGGATCAGAAGACGATGTCGTACTTCTTGGATGAGGAATTCCTGGAAGCTGAGGAGATCTACGACGAGACCGTCGACTACCTCCGAGAAACGATAAGTCGATTTACTGACCGTCAACCGGTTACTCTCGATCGTAGTACTGACTCCTCGGTTCGCGATAATACTCATGCCAACTTTCATTTGCCACGGATTACATTACCTAAATTTTCCGGTAGATTTCTCGAGTGGGAGAGTTTTAAGAGTACATTCGAGTCGCTAGTCGCAAAAAATGACGCTCTCTCTAATACTCAGAAGTTCCATTATTTGAAAACAAGCATCATCGGCGACGCCGCATTAAAAATTAATAATTTACGAATTTCTGACGCGAATTACGAGTCCGCGTGGCAACTGTTAGTTGATGAGTATGACGATCGGTTAACGTTGATTCAATCGCATTTGCATGCGTTTATGAATCTGCCGATTATGAGAAATGAAAATGTCATAGAATTAAGCAAGTTGCGCGACACAGTGGCCGCGTCGATTGCCGCGTTACATAATCTAGATAGACCGGTGGATCAATGGGATGATATTCTCGTGTACGTTGTCTCCCAGAAATTTAGCGTTAAAACAAAGAGCGAGTGGAACTTGAAAGTCTCGTCGAGTCACGCGATCCCTTCTTACAAGGACATCCACGAGTTCCTTGCTCTTCGTATTCGGGGTTTATCCGATTTTACTGACGTTGCAAAAATTGCCGCAATTTCTAAGAACGACAAGCCGCGATCGTCTGTAAACAACGTTTCCGCTATAAAATGCATTCATTGTTCCGGTAATCATTTTATTTCAAAATGTGAAACATTTCTCAGTAAATCGGCCACGCAACGAAACTCTATTGCGCGTCAAAATAGAATTTGCTTTCTCTGTCTGAAGCCGGGTCACATGTCGCCAAAATGTACAAGCAAGCAGCGATGCTCCCACTGTCGTCGCCCTCATCATTCGTTGTTACATTCCGCGAATCATCAAGCATCGGCCGACGACGACAAGCCGGAATCGAATAAGACGGGCGCAGCGACGATCGCGAAAACGGATACATCTTGCGTTCTCGAGAAAGCTGCCGTCGCGAGCGTTCAAACTGTGAAACCGCCAAGCGTTACGACTCCGACAGTTCTTCTCGCAACCGCGTGGGTCGACGTTCATACTGCCGAAGGTAGATGCTTCAAGGTTCGCGCGCTGCTGGATCAAGGATCCAATTTCAGCTTCATTTCAGAAGCGTTGTGTCAGACCATGCGTGCGAAGCGACAACGAGCCGACCTACAGATAAAAGGATTCGGAGAGAAGTTTACTGGTTCAGCTAAATCGCGAGTATCATTGCGGCTGACACACTGCGATAAGTCAGATCCCACGTTTCCTTTTACCGCGTACGTATTTCAGCGGATTACGTCTTACGCCGCGTCGCGGATTCAGCCTGTCGAGTCGTGGCCTCATTTAAAAGGCCTTTCTTTAGCCGATCCGGACCCGTCAAGTAACCATCAGATCCACATGTTGATTGGCGCGGATATTTACGGCTCGCTTTTGATGCGCGATTTACGACAGGGGCCGCTCGGCACGCCCACTGCCCAGTTAACCGCACTCGGTTGGATTATTTCCGGGCCCACCGGAAAAGAGCAACGGGCTTCGACAGAAGCTGCCGTCTTGAACTGTGTTCTCAGTCAAGACGTGGACTCTCTTCTCCAGCAATTCTGGATGGATGAAGAGATCTCGTCACCCACTCCTCTCACTGACGAAGAGGAGAATTGCGAACGACATTTCGTTCGAACTCATTATCGTCACTCCGACGGTCGATACGTAGTTCGACTGCCGTTTAAGTCAGCTCCGCCGATCGAAATCGGGGAATCTCTGTCCATCGCGCGGTCTCTCTACGGTCGTATGGAGAATAGATTGAGGAATCGTTCAGAACTCGGTTCGCAATACAACGAGTTTCTTGCTGAGTATGAGTCGCTCGGACATATGACCCGCGTAGACGAGTTGGAACAAACGGAATATTTACCGGTTTATATCCCGCATCATCCAGTGATTAGGGAAGCAAGTTGTACTACTAAGTTACGCGTAGTGTTCAACGCATCGTGTAAAACTCGAAACGGCACAACGCTGAATGATCACTTGTTAATTGGACCTAAGTTACAGCAGGATCTTCCTGCCGTTTTGTCTCGGTGGCGAAGATGGCGCCATGTCTATACTGCGGACATAGCAAAGATGTTCCGTCAAATTCGCGTTCATCCCAAAGATATAGATTATCAGCGAATTCTTTGGCGTCCGACGGAGGACGCGACGATTCAACATTATCGGCTCCTCACGGTGACATACGGTCTCGCTCCGGCTCCATACCTCGCCATGCGCGTGCTCAAACAACTTGCTCTCGACGAGGGCGTTAATTACCCTGCCGCGGTTCCAATCTTGAATGAGTCCATCTACGTGGATGACACTTTGT